TGATTTTGGTATTGTCCTTTAGTCAACATGTGAACCGTGACATTCCACTTGCATTGTTTAAGTCAGTACAAACTTACAAATTAAGCCGGTGAATGGATCGTATGAATACATTTAGGGGATCGTCGGTCATCGTACCTGACTGCACTTTGCAGGCGTCGCGGTCGGTTGACGTTGCGATCCTTATCTGAACAATTAAAATGTCGGCGTCGTTTTGCGACCTGTTGCTTCACTCTTTCGACGTGAACTCTATCGGTCGCGCTGTATCGACGTCGTCGATACTCTGGGCCTAATTTAAACGTTCTAGATTCTGAGCTGCGCCTACGTCTATCGCATCGGCGCACTGTTTACGTCGCACGTACGATCTCGATAGCGGCACGTGCTTTCCAATAAAAACTTTGGAGGTCAAGTGTAGTAGGCGTATTTATATCGAATCGAGGCTATGCGCCGCGTCTACGGGGGCGGTCATTAACTGGGTCGCGCGGGGACAAAGACCTCAGCCCCCGCCGAGGGGGAAACTGGGGTGGTTTCGCTTTCCTCGCGCGTCGCTTCGGCCTCTCTCGGCGCGAATACCGCGAAACGCCCCGAAGTTTCCGCGAACGAAACTAGGAACCTCGTAAATGTTTACTCTTCGTCGTCTCGATGCGTACATCTCGAGGGGATTAATTTAGAAGTTCTCAAACGAGCATTAATTCCAGCGGAGCTTTCCCTTTTGCGGCCGAGAGGAAATGCCCCTATTGGAAAGATTATCCGGCGACTTTTTGCTTTTCATTAGCATTACCTTTTTCCATATTCTCATTTGGGGTCCAGCGAATGAATGTATAATGATATTTAATTATGCAAATTGCAAAGACACAGCGACGGTCCGCGACATTGTACCGTCGTTAGTAGGAAGTCGGTGTCGTGTTTCGGTAATCGGACCGAAAGAGACGGACGATGAGCCGCAATAAACTTGCCATCTTTATCTGTGGATCTGACGACACTGCGCCCATTATCGATGGAGCAAAATTGAGCTTGTCATAATCGTTCCAACTCTTACTACTCAGCGTACAGTGTCCTTATAATGTCAAATGTATTTTTTTTCGTTGCTTGACATTTGGTTTTATATATCTGAATATAACCCTCGCCTTTTCCGAAGTCAATAAGGCTCCGAGTCCGTTATATGATTTATTGTATAAATTAATCTAATACCCAATTGGAGATCTTGCTATCTTGTATTAAAACCATCTGCCGCCGCGTCGCTAATTTTGGCGATTAATTACAAAAAATGAGAAAAATAATGATTTTATAATTAGGGTCTTAATCTTTAAGAATTAAAAAAACAACATAATATAATATCGTTTTTTAAATTCTTAACGATTTTACGGAGTATTTTAAAGATGTAGGTCTTCTTCGATTTTAACTTATTGCTAGATATGTATTTGAAAAACCTACTCAGTAACTATATACAAACGTAGTAGAGTAGCCCGCACGGATACATCGAACCGCAAAAATAACGCACGCATTTTAATACGCGCCGGTCACGTGTCGTGTGCATGCGCATATTACAGATACAAAGACAACAAGTAGAACGAGCAACGTAGCGATCACTGACCTACGCCACGCCACCTCGCGGCATCGGCATAACGTCATCCGCCCAAGCTAGCTCCTAGCTCGTGTTTACCGAAGGATAAACGGTACGCCAAGACAAAATGTCTGTTAGCGGAAGCTCAAATCTTACGATTAATCATTCCGATTTCTTATGCGCTGTTATGTAATCCGTTCGTATTATATTTTATATGGATATATCGGATCGTTTTAACCGCATTTTCCGTTGTTTCTTCGTTCCTATTTGTCAGAGCATAATGTTTTATAATCTATAGCCTTCCTCGATAATTGTTCTAATAAAAAAAAATCAATTCGAACGAGTAGTTCCTGAGATTAGCGCGTTTAAACAAACAAACTAACTCTTCAGCTTTATATATCAGTATAGATGAGGACAGAGGCAACTACGTAATAATTAAAAGCAGTAATAGCAGATAGATACTTTATTGTTACCGGCTGTTTGAATAACTACAATACACTAACTGTACTCTCTTTAATTTAAAAAATATCAATTGATTATAATAGTAAGGATCAATCACGATAAGAGTATCATCACGTTTTTGATAATGCAAGTGAAATGTCGCGGTGCTATCGGTAATTGCTGTCTGCGTGAGCGCATACAATTACAAAAGGGTTCGTAGCGACGAATATTATCAGCGCAGCCTACATAATAATCATTATTTATTATTGATCCATCGAACCCGTTATCAGCGTGTGTAGTGATCCGTGTCAAGAGCCGTTTCGTAACATGGCGTAGTGCATTGCTCACTGGCAACACTTGTGATAAGCGTGTGTCGGTCTAAGTCATGAGATAAATACTAACTATACATTTAATGGAAAGGCGATCAGTTGGAAAGGGAATACTATTGAGTATTAAATATACGACGCGAGTATATTGTATTATAGTGTATATTTAAATCAATCGACGCTGTTTTCAGGGCGCCTAGACCCTTTTTTTCACAACTGTTATACAAATTGCGTTTTTTCATCTGAAAGACGGTTATTTTTCTCCTAAATATATAAAAAAATACCGTAAACGCTCCCTCCTGTGCCCTATTCTAAAATAATTTATTATTAATGTTATGCGATATTTACTTCTTATCTACGGTCGTGAGTGTCAAGTGTGAACAGTATGTGTATTGATTTTCTATCTATTTAAATATCACATGACATGGGACCGTTAATTAATAGTATCATATAGTAACGCATATTTAAAAAATAACTACTCGATGTCTATGTTGATGACCTTTTCAAAACGGAACATTTTAAGCACAAAACGTGAAGTACCCTAATGAGTCGAAACTAAAAAGTGGCCGGAAGACGACGTAACATTTCATCGCAATGGAAAACGCTTCAGCTCCTAGCGTGCTTTATTTTTTAGTGTAAATTCGTCTTTATGTCAAAAGGGCAGAGTTGCTTTCCGTTAGAACGCCACAATGGTCATAAAATGAACCGAGCCGCAAGATGAGCTTCTATTTTTGTGTTATTATGAAAGCTTTTGAATTTTTTAGTTATCTTCATCCGGAGTTATTTATAACGAATTTAATTACCTCCTTTATCTAAATTCTAAAGTCTGGGCATTTTCAACTTGCTCCCAATTTCATTGTCCGGTAAATGCAATTATTTTTCTATAACGTACTTTATTTTAATACATCACTTTTGAAGATGATTATTGTCGAAAGCTTAAGGAGAAAATGTTGCATATTCTTAGTATGTATGCTTATTTATAATTAAAAAGTTTTAAAAACTTTGTTTTTGTCTTATTGTCTCGCGGCATGGACGCTGAGGATTTTATTCTCGAAGAAACATACAAATACCAACTTATCAACTTAAAAAATATTGCAGCCCTTGCGGTTAAGGTATTTAGCTTCTAAATATCATTTAATCTAGCGTAGTCATTAGAATTTTAATATTGGTGCATATTTTTAAAATATTTGCGCACTAAAACGTACACAGTTATGCATTCACGATGACATATTTATCTTGTTTTAATATTTCTCGCCATTGTAACATGAAGACGGTGGAGCACAATGGCCGTGTTTTAATAATGCCTGCCATTTGAGAGACAAACAAACAGATGTTTGGAAAGTATTATACGAGGACACCTGATTATACATAATCATGTTAAATAATGTGTTTACACGCTAACTTTGCCTCTAGGCTATGCTTGGTCTGGCTGCAAAGACACTGGAAGTAAAAAGGAGTTATTATTTTTATTGGTTTTATAAATGTTTTAAACTAGGAATGTGGTATTTTTCCTTTGTTTTTAAGCAGCCTTTGTCAACGAAGATAGTCGCCTGTGAAATGGCTTTGCCTATATGTTTAAGTAGCGTTTTAAATCATGCAACATTTTCTATTTTAATGTTAGTAGCTTTTAAATGTAATCTGGCTTAACATTTTCTTCACTTTCTTGAAGTCAAGGTACATAATACATGTATTTTAAAAATCGAAAATAAATTAGGTAGAGCAACAGCACGGAACGCTGACGATGCCGGTTCAAGTCCTGCCCGAGTCGAAAATTTTTTAAATTTATTTTCGATTTTTAAATAATATAGTGCCTACATGTGCAATGACATGTGAAAAATATTAACGTTTTCAAACATGTATTTTAGTTAATGTACTGATATTATTTAAATATAGGTTTCATTGTTTTCTATTTATTTAAGTGTACATTATGAACCATACATATTTCTTTTATTTAATAATAATGTACCGTGCAACAGCTTAAGAGCAGATATGTTTTTTCACTGTGCAGTTATTATTAATGCATTGTTAAGAATACTGAATATAAATATTGTATCCTATAGGATAAAGCTATGATTGCAATCACGACAATTGAAATGCTATTCGTATGGATGGCTTTTAATTTTTGCATGTTCCGTGGAGGTGGGCACAATCAGAGAATTACGTATGATAATTCGACTGAAATCATTTTAGGTGTACATATTGACATATAATATGTAAATCTGAGACTAATCTAATTTAGTTGCAACCGAAACGTTTTCTAATAAAACCGCGCGCAACCTTCAGACCCTCTTAACATTTCGCCGCGAGGCAATTTAATAACCAGCCCGTAGATATCTAATTAAGCGTCTGGACGTTACCATGACAAATATAGGTTTCCGATTACGCTTAGCAGTTCTTGTAACGTTGCAACAAAAACTGTAGGCATCGCGACGGGATCATAGGGCGAGTTTCTTGTAGGGTTACCAGATGTCGTTTCTCGTGTCAAAAAATTTTCAGCTTTTACAAATATAACTGTTTTCGTTGTTTAAAATTTATAGTGCATTTATTAGTCGTGTAATTCTTTGATTAGACTAGAACAAGTAGTACTAAGTAACTTAACACTGGAATCGTTAAATATGTACCTCCCTTTCAAGTTACCATTACACCGACGTATTATTTATATTTCACACAACATGGTTTTGTTACAAACGAGGACGGGAATTTATTTTTCGCTTTTACATCTGGCAGCCCTAATTTCGGCTGCAGGGCTGCGGGGCAGTGGGGTGTTGGGTGCGGTGCGCGGGGGTGCTGTGGTGGCGGGGGGACGGGTGTGCCGTCGGCAGCGTAACAATGCGGCCGTATCGATCCGCCCTCACACCGTCTACGATCGCAAGCACGCAAACCTTCGCTCCTTCCATGAGACCCTAGTACTTCGAACTTTTGCTTTCTTCGTGCTCTGTGCGGTTTTGTCACTTTGAGGACTGTCAAATGTTTAGGAGATGGCAGGATGTCAGAATATTAAAAGCAGATTTATGGGGTTTGCGTATGTTATTAAGTTGGATTATACCATGTAATCTAGATTGTTGTTTGAACTAATATAAAGTCACTCCCGTCATCGTATAAATGTGTTCAATCGTATGACTGTGATTTTGGATGCTTTAGATAGAGTTATAACAAGGTGTGTCAGCAAGACTAACTGCAAGAAGTATGTCTATGTACAGTAGCTTCTATGTACTTGGGTATCAGTTTTTAAAAGTAGTACAGGAAAATATATCAGTAACGTTTTGCCGCTCGTCTTTGCCATATATAAGGCACCTAAATTGCACCATTATTGCTGATATTATTACTCTTTGAACACTTGATTCAATTCGAGCATCGTTTATAGCGTTAACGTGATTACGTCTATTATAGAAAACTTTGAAGTGGCCCTATGCAGGTATGCACAAAGGCTGCACCGAAGCCCTGCGCCTAACCTAATCGAGCTACGTGACGTGCACGGGCCTCGAGCAAATATGGTCTAAGGGCAATTAGATCTTATTGGAACGTTTTTTGCTTTACATGTGCTTCGGTAGCATGTTACTTTTACGAGCGTTTTATTGGTAAAATTCGATGAGTTGAAAGCACTTTTGTAATGTAACAAATGAAAAATATTTTGACTAATAGCAAACTATATTATGGATAAAATGGCAGAGCCACTAACTCAAGTCGTGATCCTTCCAACTGCGATAGGTTTTTTACGATTTTCTTAAATCACTGCTCATTAATGGTTATTAGATTTGGCATCGCTATTTCGACTCTCTTGTATATCGATACCAGTTCTTCTTTTCTATTTGTGTAGTCAGTATAAATTTCATACTTTTAGTCACTAAAGTCGGTGTTAAGACATTATGAATATCATTTGGCAAAGCTTCAATAAGACGTAACTATGCGTCAGATATCTTGACCTGCCTCAAGGTTGATAGTGTATACAGTTACTATGAAATGTATAACGTTACATTACCTATTGTGCAAATAAACAAGTTCATTAACATGTAGACCTTTTGCTTCAAGGGTAACCCGAGTTCCAGGAACACAAAGAACAGTTACCTAAATAGAAAAAATGTTTTTAAAGTAACAAAGTATTTAAAAAAAAGTTTTCTCGGTTTAAAGAAATCAATGATTTTAACTGATGTGGAACATTTGGTGAAATTTGTTAAAATTTCACCAAATGCTCCACTATGCTAAAGGTTGATTAAAAACAAAACTGAAAATAACCTCATAGAAAGTTGCAGTTATCTCTGCAGCTGTGAAAAGTAAAATAAAAAAAGTATTTTCATATAATTTTATTTAAGGATGTCGAAGGATAAAATTTGTGACATACAATCCTCTCTTATATAAAACTTTCATACCGACTGGCACGCAACATAAAATTTAAAAACTAACCTCAACAATAGATGCATAACGCATTCAACGCTCCACTGTTGCATTTATAGTTAAAAAAAAACTATTCAATTACGGCGTCGCTGTTTGTCGTTTCCATTTAAAAGGCACTCTAAAGCCTTTGACGAGGCCAGACTTGGCATTCCCGGGATGCCACGGGCGCGTCAGTTGCCCCTGTCTACCAGAACTAGTGATGACATATCGATAATAGTCGATATCGATAAATTATTGATGCATATCTGCGATTGTAATGATTAATAGTTTTAAATATCTTTCCGTACGTCACATTCATTTCTGAAAATTATTTTTGGTCATTGTAGTGGATTGCGGTATTGCATATTATTATTGAAATGTTTTTCGTCTGCTTTAAAGAATTATCCTTATATTTCATATACATATAGTATATATAACATTCCTATATATTGTTACTAATACATATTTATGACATGTTTGCCACTAGACATCGCATTATACATTTTATAATAACTAATATATGAGAAAAAATATAATCGATACTTTCACACACGGCTGACGTCTCTAAAATGACGTGACCGGTTACGAGGTAACTGAAGCTGACAGATGATGGATAAGCTGCAGCGAGGGCGGTTTATATGAAAAATAACGCGATGAAATCTATTAGGGGCAATTTATTGGCCATTTTTCCTGTATATAATAAACATGTTTAAAATACCAATTTTTATTTATTTACTATGTAGCTAAACGGGTTAGAGTTGTAAACTCATTCCGCTGCACCGTTCTAAAGCTGTTCGTCCACCAGCAACTTAGCTATTTTCATTGGTAATGGATGGATGGATGGAACTGCTTTTTACTTATTAAGAATATTTTACAAATATGGACATAAAAATGTAGATTGTAAAACGTTTCCCGTAAAGAAGAAATTCATATTTCGTCCTCTGCATTTCTACATTTTACCTTATATTATGACATTTCATAGTTCTTTGTATAATTATTTAACGAAGGGGAACCGGGGACGCGCTGATACGCCATGTGTCGGAGGAGGCCTAATGACCTATTATGTATTATTACAACTGATAACGGAGTTCTATTTGGTGTTTTGTAATCGAATTTAACTTTGGAGAAGGAGAGGTAGTGATATATGAGCGTATTTAAATATTTTTAAAACATTTTATTGTAATAGAATAGTCGATTCTAAACAAAATTTACAGTGTGCGATTTTCCATTCTATGGTCATATAGGTATACATATTTACAAAATACATTTTGGCCAGTAAAAAGACAAATGTAGTTTTACATTCATAAAAAAAATAAGTAACGGGAAAAGTAAAATTACAAGTTGCTGAGAACTATCCAATGCAATTTAGTAAGCTTAAGAGACCTTTCAATACGTTTAAGGTCTAATCCAATATATATATGGCCATGCTAGACAACCCTTCCGCCATCGGCCGGGTCCATTCCGCTCAATTAGCCGCCTCGGGTTTGTCTGCGCAGATGTGTCGGTCGCTTTGATTACACTTTGATTGCGCGTCACTCACCCCGACGACTCGTATTGGTGTCAAATAGACGGTGCACGATCGAGGCTCGCTAAATTTGAGATTCGTACGGGAATGAGGGTATATTTCAACCGCTCTCGATGGACACGTGTCAAACTACCGTCATACGACACGTTGAGTTTTATCGAATTTACCTTTCGCAAGCGCGATAAAGATATTTATTTTATCTATTGCAAATGTTAATGATAATTCTATCTTTGTAGATAGAATTATCATTATATCTTTTATGATAAGTTTTCCCTTTTTTGCTAAACCCAAATATTTTAGAATAGCGTATAATACTTAGTATATATAAAGAAATTGTGATACTTGCCCTAAACGGTTAACCCTTTTTTGATGAGGTATATAGGTATCAAATAAATACAAGGTTTTAGTGTCAAAGGTGTACTAGATGCCGCTAAAAAGCGGTATCTAAGGAAATATTATGTACATACTTATCAATTTAAATACAACAAACATGCTTTTTGCGAACTTATACCCAATATAAACACCTGTACTTTTAGATTGAATTAGATTAAAGGTTATGCAACATAAATATTAAACAGCGAGTAATATAAAGCATTACTTAATCTTAGTAAGAAGCAAAAACCATTGAAAACTCTCCCCCAGTCTCCAAAAGTTGAGAACACGACAAAAGTGGGAACTTCGTAATCGTGGTAACTTGCGACACAACTCCTTTCCGGTGTCTTACGTAACGAAAATGATTTTCAGAAACTCTTTTACTTTTCTTCGATATGTCAAGGTAAGGTGAAGAAATAGTGGGGTTTGCTTAAATAACGATTGAAAGAGGTCATTTTTATTCTAATATCGTATGCGTAATGCCACGATTTTGTAAACTGTAAGTAAAGAACTTTGTCCTTTATAAGTTGCATCGTCTTAAGTCCAAGTTTATGGATCAAAGTCACCTTTGCGTTTATATCCAGTTTGGATACAAATGGACATAGCTTATCTATTCATATCTTCTAAATCGAATATCACTAGAAAGTATATGCACTAGAATGCCTACTGCGTTACTACTTACAATACCTTCAAAAAACGTATTTATGAGCTACAGTGTTATTTGCCTAGTGGGCGTGCGGAGTTTGCATTACTTAGCGGACCCAAAAAGGGATATCATGTTTTAGCCAATACAGCTATTTCTAAAATTAGTTCTAAGCCATTGAACACATCACATCATTGTCAGCAATACGTATGATAATTACTTAATAAAACAGTCACCATAAAAATTAATGTCCCACAAGTAGACATCGTTAAACTTCGTGTTGTTTTATTGCCCGTACATTAATTATTTTGTTTTGTCAATAAATAGCAGGTAAGTATTCTTCTTACTAGTTTTATTGTATTAACATAAAATTTACAGAAAAGGACGTTACATATAAATACATTATGTATTAATATTTCATATTACGATAGTTGACTTACTGTCCATTATATTTGGACATTTTATTATTTCCTTCCGAAATGTGACAGATGATTAATTATTTAAATAAAACACTTTAACGTTTAAAACCGATATATTAGTTAAATTATTTGAAAATGATTTTTAATTCATTCGCCAAATTTCGAAAAACGTCAAATCGAGTTTCGGATATAAAACATAAACGTTTCAATTGTTCCAAATATCAGAAGGGCCAATATAATTCGCTTTGACAACCAAAAATCCTCGCAAAGGAGAGTCGATTTTTTCCAAGATTGGTACGCAAGCAATTGAAATCAAAAAAACCAAATTTCAATAGGGGGACGGCCTCCAAAACCTGGGATCCCATATTAAAAACTTATCCAATAAACACATACCACAAACCGAAGACCGTTAGTCAATTCTGTAAGGACCCGGCAGTTTCGCCAAATACCAACTTCGACGGAACAGATGGGCTAGCGTAGCAATTCTTTACTTTGACGTCTGAGACATCCTCCATCTTTAGTCTCCCCGTGACACGGCTGTGCAAAGCATCGAAACGTCGGGCCGAAGTTAAAAATCATTTTCAAATAAGTTTAACTAATATATCGCGTTTTAAACCGTTAAAGTGTTTTATTTAAATGTGTACTACTCCTAAACTTAACAGTATTTGATTAATTATTGACAAATCTATTGAACTCCGTTTAACCGTTAAGGAAAATTGGTTTTTATTTCACCTGAAAATAAAGAAGTCGAATGATTTTTTCCGCAGCCGGCACTTTGTAGGGCGAAGCTGTCAATGTCCTAGCTATTTTTATTTTTACGGGTTCAGTTCCCCGGCGCTGCTCCCTGTCCCTTCGCCTCTCGGTATGTGATTCATCTCACGTAGGCTTATTTTCAATGTTAGGCTGTAAAAACATTGTTAGCTCTGTTAGGAATCTATCGAGTAGGTATTTTGATTATTTTAGCTCATGTGATGTTTATTCTTTGGCAATTCAATCTTCCTTCTCTCTCAAAATTAATGTGAAAAGTTTGTCTTATGAGCCTACTTAGTAGAATAATAATGTATCAGTTACTTTTCTTATCTCCACCTCTCTTTTTACGGCCACAAATCTGGAATTGCGGCGTCTTATAATTCACTCTAAATTTAAAAAACTACTAAGTTAATACTTGTAATGTGTATCGAAACATATGTATAAAAATATGCTAACATAATATTATAAGGTTTGTTTTAATTGCCAATTTAGATCGGCGTTGTTTCTCGGCGTATATTAAAATAATAGATCATATCTGATTCTAATGTAATAGTACGTAATGAGCCATTAATCTATCTGTTTTCCTACCCGTGTAGTGTCGCAATGACCTCAAGGTACTCCGAAGATACATTACCGTGCATTGTCTTGTCCCGGCAATATCGGCTATTATTGCTTAACTCATACACGTGCCCACTTTTTCTAGAGCGTCTGAATTATTCAACGCATCTCGCGGGGTTCAACGTAACAAAAATTCGCTCCGACTTACAACTTCGCCGTTTCAATTTCGCGAACGGGTAATATTACAATGTTTTCAGGCCTCGATTTTAAATTTATATTTGCCGTATAATTTCACGGCTGCCCGACAAGTGAATGAATTAGTTTTGTTTTTTTTTGTTAAAACTTTAAGGGGGGGGGGGGTTTTTTTTTTAAAAAAAAACCCCCCCCCCCCCCCCTTTTTTTTTTTTTTTTTTTTTTTTTTTTTGGTTTTTTTTTTAAAAATATTTTTTTTTTTTTTTTTTTTTTTTTTTTTTTTTTTTTTTTTTTTTTTTTTTTTTTTTTTTTGTTTTAATCAGGGAGGCGCCTTTTTTTTTTAGAGACCCGGCCTACCCCCCTTTTCCTTTGCTGGTCGCGGGTTTTTTGGGGGTTTAATAAAACTTTTTTTTTTTTTTTTTTTCCCTTTTTTTTTTCCCCCCCCCCCCCCTTTTTTTTTTTTTTTTTTTTTTTATTGGTATTTATTTATTTATTTATTTAATATAGTTATATTATTTTAATTCGGTACTTAGCACCTATTTAAAATTATTGCCTTATTTGGGAGAAACACTTTGTCCCACACGAAGTATCGATTGCAAACCATCCTACAATGTTGCAAAGCACCCTAAGGCCTTTTCATTAAAATAAATAATGACTCATCGAGAAACAAAACAAAGAAAATTCGGGTTCCCCTCTCGGTTTTATGATGATGGACGCTTGAAGAGTTTCTATCGACGGTAGCACATATTATGTCAACTATAATTGGCCCACTGTGAGTGCACACAATTTCAATCAACCCAATCAATTACAAAGATTCCCTCCCCTCTTCACTTTGGCTACAGCGTGCGGAGTAACCCTTCAAACGAGCTCCTGAAATAGCAATAAAATTTCGAGTTTAGATACTAAGTTATATAAAAACAATAATTTTACGCGCCTAATGACTTACAGGGTTGTACAAAGTATTTGCGACGTTATGCGTGTAACTGTTTTTTAAAGTGACTGACTAGGTTAAATGAAGAACAAAATATCACACGAAATTGTAGGAAATTTTATTTAAGTGCAGCTGTAATCGATATGGCGGTGAAGTTTTCATAATATCTGTTCCTTATGTGTAATAGAGTTGCACTGTTTTGTTAAATTAGAATGTGCCCTAAACTCCTTTATAAGATTATGAGCTCCAAAGCTCGTAATGGACAATTATTTCGGCAGGCGACGGTCACACGCGCGGTTCGTGCGTGCCCGCTATTATTACCGGACAAGACGCGTGTCAGAGTATCCTCGGTTCAAGTTGTGAGAGCGAAGCGATTTTACAATTTCAAATATAAGTATTCAAGTACTTTATATTTAGACAACCCCTTATTATTCTTTATTTCAATTTGAACACATCGGCGTTTTATAAAACAATGTAACATGGATATTACACACCAAGAATATTTCTACGATTTGTTGCTCTTTTTTTAGTGTTTCTATATGAAATTATAGTAAAAAAATGTAATTCATTTAATAAGAAAAAAAACAACAAACATCTATCCATCTTTTGAAAACTTTAATATTTTTCACATGGCATCCAGAGCAACAGCAAGGAACGCGTGGATACCGGTTTAAGGCCTGCCCGAATCGTAAGTTTTTTCAATTTATAATCGATTTTTAATCGTATCTATCGTCACGTCCTACTTATAGAAATGGACATCCATTTCTATAAGTAGGACGTAAAAATCATACTGGCCCGTCGCATCCCAATCCTCGCACCGCACACCGTGGTCGATAAGACCATGTGTGCAGGCTCCGCGGGAGAGCTCCGGCCCCCCTCGCTCACTATTTTCATTTATCACTCGCTTACACGAGTCGCTTCGAGTTTTTACTTGCGAGATGAGATGCTGCGTTGCCTGAGCAATTAAACATTAAGACATAAACATTCTTCTATAAATATCTTTATACTGCCTATTAAATATTAACACTTCCAATATATATGTCATTAAAATTAGCCATAGAAGGGATTTTTTAAATGCTGAAAATCTTCTTTTTCTTTGTCACTAAGCTAGGATAACTTTATAATTACTTTTCAGTATGAACAATGACTACCAATGGCGTAAGACGAAGGTTAAACAAATTAAACATGCGGCCACGCCTATTATCTATTCATATTTGCGGCTTGTTCAATGATCCTACTTTTACCGTGTTTTATTTTAAGTGTTTCACAGTTTTTTACCTAAGTTTTATGGTCATTTATATAAATCGATAATATCGAGAAGTACAACATTCTCGAACAAAATCCTAAAATATCATATCGCTTAATCAAGATCTCATTTCATTCCTAACCGGTTACTTAATATTCACGTGCGTGGGAATTAATTATCGTGTTTATGTTTTTATGGTCAAAAGTTAATGTAGTTAAAATTGTTCAGCTGAAAAGTCTTAGATAAAATATTTATTAAGCGATGTACGAGTGTCGATCTCGTGTCAAGTGACAATTGGCAGATCGATTGAGCGCCAAATACTTAAATGTAATACATTTTTTGATGAGCACGAAACGAATGAGGTAAAACGTGTTTGAAATAGACAGGGGATTAACTATCCCCTCGCGTTAGGGGATCCGGCAGATACGGAGTCGGGTGCGTGCTCCGAACTCGCTGCTTCGGATAGAGCGGATCACTTTCATACATTATTGACGATCTCTTGCTTAGCGATTGTTATTGTTGCCCAGACTTCTATACATGTACGAGAAAGCTGTTTCTTTAGATTAAGCTATTTGTAAGCTATTATTAACGAGTTTACTACTAAACCAACACGTGTTTGTTCACTGGTTTTATTCTGAACTGCACGGTTTATAAGCTTAAGTCAGACAGATAAACACCATACTGAATTTAGTTTTTAACTGAACTGTAATTAAATTCTGACATTTCTTCAGATCCAAATGAAGTTGCTAGAAGGCACGGTGTCAAAAAACATGGTCTCAGGTACCAGGTGGTTGTGACTTGTGGATGTACAGGCGAGGCGCGGCAACATCGCACGGGTTGTTTACAATAGAAATGTAAACGAATGCTCCCAACTAGTAACTTGATAAACGGAAAGCTTTTTACTATTTTAAACCCGAGTTGAACACAATGTGTTTTTGAAGCCCCTTGAGTCGATGCAATTAATGAAAAAAAAAGCCCCTTTCAGTTTGGAATCTTGATATCATGGAACCACGTCGTAAGGAAGTTATCGAGTCGGAATTTATAATTTAATACTAAATCTATAATCAAGATTCTGTGGCACAACTAACAAGGTATATGTGTGTTTATAAATGAATGGATCTTTTATCAACAATTAGGTACCTGTCCATCCTCAAATTAAATCAACTCAACAAAAATATTGATACAAATGATTACGTATGGTAGATAAATTAAACCACTACGGGATGTTTATTTAAATACCTATAAGAAAGAAAATAAACTCACTTGATTGTATGCATTCGCACATTTCATGCGATATGAGTAATTCTCAAGTAACAATGTTTTGATAAAATTGCGTCAATTGCGCCATCGTGTTTCCGCCTAGATACCTACATCTGATAGCGTGGACTTTATCAGTTAACACCTATCGTTATCTGCTCGTGAAGCGGCTATTATCGTGCCGTGCGTAAGATTTTCAGCGTACTACACTCGTGATGAATGACAGGTGAAAATGTTACTGATAAACAAATACGGCAGAAAAGTTTGATTACCGGTAAGAAATAAAATCTATTTTCGCTCATTTAATGTTACAAACGAAAGTCTAACTTATCAAATCTTATTCTGTATTTCAATTTGTCGTTCTTAGCTAGACTTTACACAAATTATATATTGTGCGTTCGTGAATAACCTTTTTGTCACCACCGTTCAAGTGTCCAAAACAATATTTAAAAAATTAGAATTCAGTTTACCAAATTGCCGCGGTGTAATAAGGACGTGCATCACGTATTAGCAAAACTGATATCAAGTTATTTATATTTACTTCCTCGGCGACTGGAAAATTCCGCAAAGCAATTGATTGATACATTGACAAAAAAAATGTGTGAAAATACCAACAAAGGGTAGGCGAATGTTTTGTATCCAAAACCGTAAAATTATATTACTATAAATAAAACTTATGTTTTTGTTTTGTTTGCAGGTACGTTAGGGTCCGAGTGACCGCTCGTGGGAACGTTTCCTGAACCACTCGCCTGGGTGAGGGTTGGCAGACTGGCCTTCAAAATACGACCCGTTAGTCGCCATCAATGTAATAGGTATCGTAATCATTAGAATTTGATGGTATGCTACATGCTGTCTTTTTTGTTTGCGGGTAAAACATAAATTTCTTAAATTTATAGAGTGGTTACATAAGAAATACAAAAATATAATTTAGATACATATCTGCAATACATAAAGGCTTAATGTACTGTCGAAATTGCTGCAATTATTAAGCCTTTTTATTGGGTTTTACTTAATGCTAGACCCATCGTTTCTAACCACTTATACAAGATTAACATTTTCTATGCAATTAGCGCCAGTCTGATGTGTAGAAAACTAAGTACTTATCAATTTTTCGTACATGTTAGTGTGTTCGAATATCGTTATATGGTTGATCAAAGGAGTAATATGCCTCTAGTCTTCAGTGAAGCCGCGTCGTTTGAACATAAAGCTCGTTGTCCCTAATATACGATCTACCTAACCAGCATTTGTAATAGAACAATAGTATTTGTAATATACCGTTGGGAAAGCCCAAGTCCATAGGGATTTTACGGTTTTCCGTCCACCAGTTTTGACGGATTATTTGTAGATGTTAGAAGATACGTTGCCATCACTTAGTATAATTTTGTATTACAATGAAGCAAGCCGCTAAATAGTATCAATTATACATTTCAATTTGATAAATAAAATTGCTGCTACTAGAAACATTCACGTTTGTCATTCTGACGATAGGCCATTAATATATAGATCAGAACTATCTCGTCATTCCATATTCAGTTGTTAAGTACATATTTAAAGTGTGCAGTCCTCGGCAGTAATACAATTCCCCGAGTCGAGTTACTTGTTGACAAATCCATTATTTCGAAGTGCGTATACGAAGTACCTAGTACCTACATACGTACGCAACGTGAACCGAAACAGATGATCAAATGTAATATTACCTATTCTTTGTTCATAAGGGCTTGTTAAAAATAATAAAACTCTTTATTCGTTTTATTATATGATAAAAACAATAAACACCTAGTTTAAATTTATTAAGTCTGAGCAAATATTTGTAGCTCGAAACAAATAAATAAAGGAAAACATTAAAATTTGGCATCAATAGAAAGTTGTTAGGAATAGGCAATAAAAGTAGTTAGATAAGTTAAGATGGTCGACTATAAAGTTTTATTGAGAGAAACTTTTGCAGGGCCAGGTAGTCGGGGCTTGGGTCTCGGTTAAAGATAACTGACGAGATTTAAATAAACACGTGGTCTACAGAGAAACTACCTATATCAGTACCTACTACGGTACTACCATTCATTTTTATAAAGCATACGTTGTACGCATATAAATCCGTTACCCGGGGGACAATGTGCCTTTACAGTTGCAGGGTAAGTAATTGATCAAAATTCTGTCTCCATCCTGACCGAAAAATTATCCTATATTCCCAAGCATTCGAATCCTGCACTTCTCATCCACACTCTTTGGTAATCGTTGGGATAGAAGAATATTCGTTCGCGTGAAATAGTGACTTGGGGTAGAATTTCTAATAATTGCTGTTTATTAATTTATGTAACTGCGCATTTATCGCAGCCAATCTATGTTGTAAGTGCTACTTTGCCGCAACACTCTCACCTCACATCATCTTCCTTCTCTACCTCCCACTCTCACTCCCAGTCCCACTCCTATTCCCAAAAAGTCAAAGAATAAAGTTTCTTTGTTCAAAGCTTCAAAAGCCACAAATTTCCATACAAACTCCCCCCTCCCTTAACCCCCGTTTCGCAATAAAAAGTAGCATATGTCCGGTCTCAGGGTCTAGACCATATTTGTATCAAATTTCATTCTAATCCGTTTAGTAGTTTTGGCGTGAAATAGTAACAGACAGACAGAGTTACTTTCGCATTTATAATATTAGTAATTAGTAATAAGGATTAGTAAGGATATAGTTATGGTTTTCTTAGCTTTTTTACAATAACATATTCATTCCATATAAATCCAATTAAAAACTTTTTTGTAGTTTATTTATTCATAAGGTACACAAACAATAATGTAAACAATAAGCGTTAAAGAACTATGATGTTAAATGCAGTTTATATCTCAATTACATAAATCGTAGTGTTATCAAAAATAATATATAATAGTACCTATTTAATTATAAAAGGATTTAGAAATTATGTTACATATGTTATCTTACGGAAACATTTTTTTAGTTACTTTTAATTACTATTTAAATATTTCATATATTCTTTTACGAAACTGAGATGTGTCATCGTTGAAAAACTGTAATAGACCCAACAAATCATTTGCAAACTGTCTGAAACATTTATATTGTGTTACCCACAGTAGTGAAGTCAGGGAATAGAAAGTAGAGAGCCGGCTAAATTCCTCTTGTGTAAGATCTGAAATAAAGTCATCACATCATAGTCATAAGTCATAAGTATTCCAATGAGAGCATTAAAGGATAAGATACGCAATTGGAGGGATCATTATTTAGAAACATCCCTATATTTGAGCACATCGGTGCCGCATAGCGGTTTGCAGAATATAAATAGGGCACTAGAGAGAACATTTCCGGTGACGGCTTTAGGGTTGTCCAAAATTCAATTATGATATTGCTTATAATCTGACATACGAATCTTTATTTGCAGACTGAAAAGGGGTAAGTATTTTTACTAAAGGTAGATTTATTTTTTATGAATGTCTAATATAAACTGAAGGAAATTAGCCTTCCAACAACATTACATTAAGCTTATTTACATATCTATTCCGATACGCAAAACTCTTAAGACTTCTCCAGTACAACATGATCCAGATAATTCAATATTATTCCACTTCGTAGTAACGACAGCCCTGCTCGAAACCCGCAGCTTTGTCGGCGCTCTGTTATCTCGCACCGACAAACGTAATACATAGTTAGTAATTGCACTCGATGCGTTTTGCTGTTTTTTGTCTCTTTTTGCCACTATCTCTGTCTTTTTTTCTCGGGGGCTGTTCACGAGTACCGTTTGATGTTTTTGTCACCTAAATAATGGGTGCAAGTCAATTAGGCTTTTTGCGCGCTTTCGAGATTGAGAAGGGATCGGTTCATTGCACCTATTAACGGCAATTTCATTGGCTTGGCTTTGACATGTAGAATGGTTTAGTTTTCACACAATGAAGGTAAGAATAAATAATAGTACAAAATTAAGACTGTAGTAGTAGGTATCGCACGAAAGTAAAGGTTGTAGTAATTGTAACCTGCTTTAAACTTAAACCTGCCCGAGTCGACACTTTTTCAATTTATTTTCGATTTTTAAAATATAAAGTGCCTTCATGTGCAATAACATGTAAACAATAAACTTTTTTAATTAAAATAAGGGCAAGTGAAAAGGGCATGGGACGTACACATTTCACCAATCGATTTTATTTGCAGCCCAGTAGTTGATCACATTCTTGTGCCGTGCCCAACCAAATCAATCTATTGTTTTCCCGAGATTCGAATCCAGGACCACTAGCGTTTAACGCAATGCTAGGCAACACGTTTAAACATTTAGCTACAGAGCCTGTCTTTTAAAGTAAAGGGATACCAACCAAAAAGAGATACCACATATTATAACAATTTGTGGCTTACAATCGGGTGATGTAGTATAAGTTGTATAGTTGCGTACAGGTTGGCTAAGTATACATATATTTATTCGCAACACGTACTTAATTGATGCCGAGCCTTAGTGTGCCGCTAAGATTTATCGCGTATATCTAAGTTATAACACCCGTCTACCGTTTGCTTAGTAATTGCCTATCAAATATCGTTCCGAATCTTTGTCTCGCAGGTAAAGTAACGGTGATCTCTGCGTG